CAGTAATAAAATAATAACTGTTTGCACAGAAGTCGAATCGATTTGCGGTCTTGGAAGAAGTTGTTCTGTATAATTGGCTAAATATAAGTCCCAGGATTAGTGAAAATTTAGCAATTTTTGAATTTTTGTCGAGCAAATGTATTGTTTTGTTCGGTTTCCCATACATTTTTCCATACAAATTTTAAAACTCTCCCGCAAATCTAGATCGTAACCGAATTCATTCAAATTTGATACAGGTGCTGGGGATCCCAATACGAATCGAAAGAACCGGGGGTTGAGATCCGCCATATAAAGTTGACCCATCCTAATACACATATAAGAAATCTTTCATAATGACCACTAGGAGTGTGCAGGATACATGAGTGAGTGAGTTCCACCTGTCGATGTGAGTACCAAAAATGTTGTTGATGGAATTTTAGAGCAAACGTGATATACAATATTGTAAACATTATGTGCTACTTGAAATGTATTGTTTATAAATGTTTCTATGCTGCTTAGAAATAAAGCTTAATGCTTGCAAAAGAAAGTATCCAGTCTAGCGATGCTTTCATTTGATATTCAACTGGCCTTTGCACACAAGGAGCAATTGGCTTCAGTCTTTTTGGATATAAAGGGCGCATTTGATTGTTTCCATAGACATACTGTCAGACAATTTGCATAGTAGTATATTACCCGGTATTTTGAATATTTTTTTGTATAATTTGCTGTCAGAAAAACAAATGACCTTCAATCTAGGTTAACTGATAACAATCTATAATTAGCTACAGGGGCTTACTCCAAGGTTTATTTTTAAGTTCCTTACATTATAGTTTCTATGTCAAAGATATTGATAACTGCTTAGATAATCGCTGCACGCTTAGACAGCTTGCAGACGATGATGCCGTGGTTTCCCTGAGAGGTCCACGTGTGGAAATCTTGCAAAGACCTTTGCAAAATTTCCTAAATAATCTGTCTTTCTGGGCAAGAAATTTAGGTATCGAGTTTCAACGCAAAAAACTGAATTGGTAGTGTTTACAAGGAAGCGGTTTCCAGCCCAACTGCGTCTAAATATTTTAGGCAGATACATTACCTAATCTTTAACCTTCAAATACCTTGGAGTCTGGTTTGATTCAAAATGCACTTGGGGTACCCACACTAAGCATTTGAAACAAAAGTGTCAACAAATAATCAACTTTCTACGATCAATTAACGGGACATGGTGAGGTGCTCACCCGGAAGACCTAATTAAACTGTATAAAACGACTATTGTTTCAGTTCTTGAGTATGGCTCTTCTTGCTTCCTCTCAGCAAGAAAAAGCCACCTAATTAAATTGGAAGGCATTCAATATCGTTGTTTACGTATTGCCTTTGGCTGTATGCATTCAACACACAATATGAGCCTGGAAGTTCTAGCGGGAGTAAAACCCCTGCAGAACCGTTTCTGGGAGCTCTGATTAAGAATAAATATTAAATGTAGTGTCAGTAACAACCTTGTGATTGAAAACTTCGAAGAAATGCTCGAATTGAGTATCCAGATTCGTGGGAATCTATCTTAGTTATGTCTCATCGGATGTTAACCTTCCGTGCTATAACCCTCCTCGTATATACTTTACTAACTACAGTTCCCCCATTGACTATAATCTCTCCATAAAACAGGCTATTCAAGGAGTTCCAGATCAACTTTGACCTATCTCAATTCCCCGTATTTTTGCTGAAAAGTACCAACAAGTTAATTGCAATAGAAGATTTTTCACTGATGGATCCACTGGCTTCGGTGTCTTCAATGAATACTCAACCGCCTTTCTGAAACTTCAGGAACCTTGATCCGTTTATGTTGCTGAGCTAGTAGAAATCAACTTCGCATTGGGATGATTTCCGACATGCCCATAGACCATTACTTCATCTTCTCGGATAGTCTCAGTTCGATTGAGGCTATTCGGTCGATGAAACAAGGTAGGCACTCATCTTTTTTTCCTTTCAAAGGTAAGGAAGCAGACGAGTTTGCTGGTCGAAAGATCATATATGATTACCTTTGTATGGGTCCCCTCACATTGCTCAATCCCAGGCAATGAGAAGGTAGACTCTCTCGCAAAGGTGGGCACACAACAAGGCGAGATTTATGATAGAAGAATTTTACATGATGATTTTTGCCCATTAGTACGTCAGAGTTCTCTTTTAAGTTGACAAAACGATTGGTCATGTAATTCTCTTGGGCGGTGGTTACATTCCATTATTCCAAATGTTTCTTCGAAAGCGTGGTTCAAAGGTCTGAATGTTAGTCGGGGCTTCATTCGCATGATGTCAAGACTTATGTCGCTAGACGCACATCTCTACAGAATAAACCTCGTTGACAGCAATATATGAAGGTGCAAAACCGGTTATGATGACATCGATCACGCAGTTTGGTATTGTTCGGGTAATGACGCCTTCAGAGCATGACTGTTGGATACCCTAGTGGCCCGATGTAGACAACCCTTCCGTCAAGTAAGAGATGTATTGGGAACCCGTGATCTTCCCTACATGCAGGCGATCTACGAATTGCTTTGTTTGTCTGATGTTAGAGTTTGATGTGACCATCCCCTCCTTTGCAAACAATTTCCAACCATTGTGTCCCAGTCTTAGTATCCTCCTGTTTCTGTGCTACTTGCCCCTGCCCAGCCAAGATTTAATCAACCGTCCGAGAGTAGTATCTGATGGAGGCTTCAGAAACTAGGGTAAATTGTTACCCAATACTAACCTAGAACTACTGCTGTTTAAAATTTAAATTCAAACATTACTGATTTTTAGCTCCGCAAAGTGTCACACACGACTGAGCCTAGGAAATAAACGAACTAGTTAAAAAAAAAGTATCCAGCTAACTAGTAAAAATATGTTGTTTGTGACTGAAAGTGTGTGTCCGTTTTATAACATGAACAGTCCTTATCCGAGCAAAGTCGGTTAACAAAATGAAAGCAAACCGATATTAAAGTTTGCTGTTCCTATCATAATGAAAACTTTTTTCTGTTTCAATTTTCGGGAATTAAGTCTGAAGTCATATTAAGCTTTCATTATGCAGTCAAGTGTTTTTAAATGAAAGCAACATAGCATCAAGTTTTGCTGTTAACGTCTTGTTAAAAATTTAATTTAATTTAATCTGTTGTTGAAGTAACGATTATAGTTTGTTTGTTTTGTTTAACACATTTTGTGTCATTCGTGGTTTGTCAGGGACGAGATTTGAACTAAAGTTGTTCAGCATGGATGCCAACCATTTCGGCCAGGCCCATATCCAGTTAAATATGATGAATGCAAAATCAGTAATCAAATTCGTTTTTCAGTGCAAAATTAGCCGGCGCCGGAGGTGTACTAGTAAGCGTGACTGCTTTCTCACCTCAATGGGTCTGGGTTCAATCCCAGCCGAGGTTGGTGGAATTTTTCTGAGGCATAAACATCTCTGGTCACGTCTTTCTTTGGAAGGGAAGTAAAGCGGTTGGTCCCGGCCCATGTGTGTTTGAAAGGGTGTGATATCCTACGCAGGTGTGGAAGCTGCCTTCCTGCACATTCGGTTGCCGTCAATGGATGGCAATCGATGTCCGTCGGTGATTGGCGTTAGATTGCGGAACAGAGACCGACGTTAATCAAAGGAAAGAAGAACAGTGTAAAATTATGATTTTATTTTTGCTATGTTAACCGTTAATCCATACAAAACGAATTCAACTGGAGTAATCAAAAAAGTTACATCATAACAGCAAATCCTTATTTCAATTTGTCTACAGCTTTGCTCGTGTAGCTATACCGCAAAAACTGAACATTTGATTTTGGCAGCGAAAAAAATCTACCTACAAATAATGTATAATTACGAATTAATTCGGAAGAGTCCTGCTTTTTACGGTGTCTTTTATTTTCAAGATTGCACAACTTATGGTTGTCTGGATATATGCTAGGGTTAAGAACTAATTTCCGTCACATTAAACACAACCAGCGCTTACCTCTCTTTTTTGAACGGGTTTGAACAAAAAATATTTTTTCTAAATACTATAGATGACTCCCAAATTTATATACACACCTACACCTACACAGTTTTTTTTAAATATTACTTGTGAAACATGCTTGTAAACTTGTATTTCTTTTCACGCAAACTAGCATATTAGGAATTTAAAAAGCAGGTATTTAAAACAATATCTGAAACTGCCGCTGTATATTATGGGGTATTTATACATCAAAAGATAACTTTTTGTATGAGGAATTTAATACCTAGATGGTTGTTCACGACACGAATCATTTTCTGGTAGTTTGGAGTGAAAGTAAGAGTTTTTATCCTATCCTGGCTATAATGGTGTAACGGTCAATTTTACATAGCAAATGTCAATCATTTTTTGCAAAAAAAAATAGTTTTATTTGATAGCTAAGATCATCCTTCCTAATTGTATGTTCCTGTACTTGAAAAAGCTTCACAAAATTTTTCCATGCCTACTCAGAGAAAATACCAATTTGTGAAACCGCATGGCGTGTGCATTCGCTGTTTAAATGACAATTCACACTAATGAGATCGATTAGAATTCCAGTGCAACTCGTTATCTCAGCCACTTGACATTATTATTTTATTTTTATTGAGTGTTTTTATCTCCGCACATGGGCATCTGCTTAATTGCGGTTTCCATTTTTGATTAAACGAGCTAATTACCACTTCAGCAGTTTATATTTATTAGTCGGAGGAGGAGATAACATACGACGACACGATGTGCAAATTGGTGCTCGGGACACGTGAGCCAATTTGCATTTGACATCTCGCGAGTCGATTGTCTATAATCAATCATTTAATACCTACAAGATGAGGAGAAAAACATCACCTGACGTTGGAAAAAAAAAACAAAGAACGTCCAGTATAGGTGCGGATAGATGGAAATGATTTAACATTAACACATTAGAACTTCCTTTTTTGAACCTTTCAAGAAACGGTTTCCTGCCGCGTGTTGCTTTTTTTTTTGCATAAATACCTAGACGAGACCTTTTAATTGAGATGTTGTAATTTTTATTTCTCTTACCTCTTCGAAGGCTCTGGTCAGCTGAGGAAATCCGGCGGAGTTCAACCATTCTGCCTCTAGTTCGCCATCTGGAATGTTAAGAAAAGAACATAGGTCTACAATTAGTGCACTGCTCGACGGATGTCATTTAATGATGGTGACACTCAGAGAGTTTTATTTTTGTTGTTGAGGTTGAAGATAAGACAAGCTGTGACAGGACTGTAATTTAAATCTGCGATGATGGTGACTAGCATTTTAACAGTGAATCTATTCGAATTTGCATTATTCATGGAATCGACAGACCAAAGACGTTGCTGATGCTTATGTGTACAATGTGCTTAAATTACAATCTTGTAATACCTAGTATGTAAAATAGATTTTGAGAACAATTCAAGCCGATCAATGGATTAGATCCTAAGTGACAGATTCGCTTCGTCGATTTCCTGTTTGAATCCCCACGACCCAGACATTCCCAACTATTTTCAACTCACAGTTTGATAAAAGAAGTTATTATCTAGCATCTAATACGACAAACATGACAAGAAACGGTTCTGTGGCCAAGTTATTAACGAAAGAGAAAGTCAATAAAGATAATCGTTACTTAGAAGCTAATGCATTGTTCGGTTGAAATATTAGTAAAATCATAGTAATTACCATATAAACTTCAAAGGACCAGTACAGTATGAGATCGCCACCAAATGAGCTCAAATTTTGGGAGAATCGTCAGGACCTGATTTGGAATGGATTTAGTGAGGTGGTGCAAAAACAACGAGTTCAACGAGAACTAAAGAAATTATAACTGTTTTATTTTGGATAATATTTCTAGATAGATGAATAGATTTCTACTTAGCAATCCTCCAAAGTTGAGGAGAAAATTTCAAGGACTAAGGAAAACCACAGGATTATTTTTCGAAAATTCAGAATTGGTCTCTGCAAAATTCTAGGTTAACATTTAAATGATTAAAATTAAATGCAAAAGAATTAGGAAGAGAATTCTGAAGAAGTTTTTTTTTTTGTATACCGTAATGCACCAAAATGCAGACACATAAATCCGGACACTTTGTAAAGTTGATTAGCAATACCACCAAGCTCAAAATAGCATGTACATTTTAACATGACTTTATGTCATCGTTCCGAATCATCACGGGTGTTTATTATATTGAAAAGCAGGCGTAATAATTTATTGAAAATGAAATGTCGGGATTAACAGATCGTCCTGTATTTGAAGCATTACGGTAATGCAAGGAGACTTTAAAGAGAGCTATTTGAATAAATTTAAGCAAATTCTTGTAAGAATTTCGAAAAAAATGGAAGATTTTTGTTAAGTGAATGCCATGAGTTCTTTGGAGAGAATCTATAGAGAAATCTTAGAAAGTATTTGCGAAAATTTAAAGATAAATCCAGAGAATCTTAAAATTAATCTAGGGAATTTCTAGGGAATCTTAAAATTAATCTAGGGAAATTAGATGAAGATGCAGCTGTTCTTACTAACGTTTTGAAAACTTGTACCAATAAATTAGTTGAACAAAAGTTTGTTTCTTTGAAAAACTCGAACAGCTGGTACAATTTGGATCTTTTGCGTCTTAAACGTAAGAGGGACAAATGGTACAAAAAGTTTTGTAGATCTAATAGTGATAATCATTGGAATAGGTACACGGTCGCGCGTAATAAATATTCACAATCAATTAAGAAAACTCGATGTGAATATATTCAGAGGAAAATTGATCAGCATCAAAACAACAGCAAAGAGTTATGGAAAATTTTGAAATCTTTGATGAAGCCTAGTAATTGTAAATCGCGGACCATAACTTTTGACGGCATATTAGAACAGTCAGAACCAGTAATTGCTTCTAAGTTTAATGACTATTTCGTCGAGAGCGTTTCACTGATCAATCAATCTATTGAACTGATCAATGAACCGGACGAAATAAAACAGCCGATTAATAGTAATTGTAGATTTAATGGTTTTCACCCAATTACATTAGATGAACTTAAAAATATTTGCTTTTCATTAGGAAAAACGGCTGGAGTAGATAATGTTAATGCTAGAGTTATTCAAGATTGCTTTCATGTCATTCGACACACTCTGCGGGACCTTATAAATCAATCATTGCAATCTGGGCACGTGCTGCATATTTGGAAAGAATCTTTAGTTGTTCCTATACAAAAAGTTGCTGGGACGATTAAAGCCGAAGAGTTTCGTCCCATCAACATGTTGCACACATTAGAGAAAATTTTAGAACTTGTTGTAAAAGGCCAGCTGTTAGAATATTTAAATAGTAACTGTTTGTTGATACCGGAACAATCGGGATACCGGGAAGGCCATTCTTGTGAAACCGCGTTAAACTTAGTGTTAGCTAAATGGAAAGAAAATTTGGAGCATAAAGATACGATTGTTGCTGTGTTTTTGGATCTAAAACGCGCTTTTGAGACAATTTCTAGGCCCTTATTGTTAAGAACAATCAAGCGCTTTGGAATTTCGGGTTCTGCATACAAATGGTTTGAAAGCTATTTATCTGACAGAACAAAAAGGACTGTTTTTAATGATTTTGTATCTTGTCCCGTTGACAATGACCTTGGAGTGCCTCAGGGAAGTGTATTAGGGCCCCTTTTATTTATTATGTATATTAATGACATGCGACGAGTTTTACGGTTTTGTGATATTAATCTTTTTGCTGACGATACTGTGTTATTCATTGCAGCTAAAGATTTAGAAGAAGCCGTTTCACGCTTGAATGAAGATTTGCGTTCTCTAAGTAGATGGTTGAAGTATAAACAATTGAAATTGAATATAAGTAAAACTAAATTCATGGTAATTTCGCGGAATCGTGTAGATGAGGATGTCTTTGTTGTTATTGATGATGAGACAATTGATCGCGTTCAGGAAACTAAATATCTTGGCGTGATTATTGATGACAAACTCAAGTTCAATTCTCATATTGACAATGTCATCAAGAAAATTGCCAAGAAGTATGGAATTCCATGTCGCTTGAAAAACGATTTAACTATTGGCAGTAAAATACAGTTATACAAATCAATCATCTCCCCTCATCTAGACTTTTGCCCTTCCATTTTATTTTTGGCCAATGAAACACAAATATCGAGATTAAAGCGTTTGCAGAATAAAGTAATGTGTTTGATTTTAAGATGTAATAGATTCACTTCCTCAACTTTTATGCTGGACGCTTTGCAATGGCTGTCAGTGAAGCAAAGAATTGTGTTTGACTATGGTGTTCATTTTTAAAGTAGTTAACGGTTTGCTGCCTCGATATTTGTGTGATCGGATTGAAAGAGGAAGTGATTTTCATAGATATAACGCTAGAAACGCGGATGAAGTAAGAACACCACATCTCAGTCCGCATCGTGCTCTCTTGCCGTGCGGATCTATTTGCTTTTTGCTTAAGGAAGTGTTACTACTACCTAAAGCTACAACAAATTTAAACAGCACTTTTCAGTGCTCAACCTGTAAAAATTTTCTACCTTGTTCAACTCCTCTTATTCCTCTTCGATCCTTGTTTGGACCCTACCCGAGGTAATCTTTCTTGGATATCGATTTGGAAAATTCCTCTTCGATCCTTCAGATTCTTATAGTAATCTGCTTGGAAGTCGATTTGGATAATCGCATAATCGCACTTTTCAGTGCTCAACCTGTAAAAAATTTCTACCTTGTTCAACTCCTCTTATTCCTCTTCGATCCTTGTTTGGACCCTACCCGAGGTAATCCTTCTTGGATATCGATTTGGAAAATTCCTCTTCGATCCTTCAGATTCTTATAGTAATCTGCTTGGAAGTCGATTTGGATAAAACATTTACTGCCGCCATGGCGCCTAAACGCAAAAGAAAGGGGCAAACTCTTGACCCCCCTTCTGAAGAAATTAATTTGAGTAATCAATTTGATTTGCTCACGGATGATGAAAATGATCCATCATCCAAGAAAAATTCTAGTAAACTTTCCCGGCTTAATACCAAGAAGGAAAAGATTCCCCCTATTGTGATAACCACTACCGATTTCCATGCTCTTCGCATGGAACTTTTGAATTTCGTGAAAGTTAAGTTTTCACTACAAATTGGACGTCGGGGTGAATGCCGTGTATTGGCTGAAACCTTGGACGGATTTAAATGTCTTCTCAAGTATCTTACTGAGAAGAAGCACAAATTTTTTACTTACGACACCAAAACTGAACGTGTGTTCAAGGTTGTCATGAAAGGACTGCCCAGTGGTGAATCCCTGGATCAGATCAAAGATGAACTGGCAAAATTACTTGGAGTTGTGCCACTCCAAGTAATCAAAATGAAAATGAAATCCCGTCCTGGCGATTCGCGCAACGGGATTTCTAATGATTTTTATTTAGTTCACTTCAAGTCTAGTGAACTAAACAACCTTAAGGCCTTAGAAAAAGCTAGCCTTATGCTCCATGTCCGAGTGAAGTGGGAACACTTCAGGAAGACTGGAGGAAATTTCCAAAACCTCACCCAGTGCCGTAAGTGCCAGGGATGGGGTCACGGAACTAAAAATTGCTACATGCCAGCTAAATGCATGAATTGTGGTGATTCCTCTCACGCAAAGGACGACTGTCCTGTGAAGGAAGATCCTAAGAAATTTAAATGTTCAAATTGTGGTGAAAACCACAAATCCAATTTTTGGGAATGTAAGACTCGCAAAGCGATCCTACAATCTCGTTCTAACCGACAGGTAGGAAACGCTCCACGTTTCCGACCAGGTACAAATTCCTCTGCTGTTAACAACGGTCAGCGAGGAACAAATTCTACATTCGTACCCGTAGGTACAAATATCACCCCTGCTTCAAATGTTTCATCTGTACCTACTCCCCTCGCTGCTAACAATGTTCAGCGAGTTAATGGAGCTACCTATGCTGCTATTGCAGCGGGTAGAAATCAAAATACTAACCAACGTTCTAATGGAAATTTGGACAATTTTGACTTAGGAAGCATTACTGCCCCCAAAATGGAATTTTTACAGAATTCATTAATTGACATGATTTCTGATATGCTTAAATCTAACTCCATGTTTGATGCTATTCAAACTGGAGTAAAATTTGCAAATAATATTGTCATGACTTTAAAATTC